TTTTACCATCAAGTTCGTCAACTTTTAAAAGCCGGGTGATAGAATAATATTTTTTTAAGTTCTTGAATAACATTTAAAGTTCAACGGCAAAGGAAAACATTTGAAAATGTTCAAATGCAACTCAAAAAACTTTCAAAGCTTAATGACAATTTGTTCTCTGACCTGCTGGGACACATCTCGTGATTAACCTATCTCACAATGCTCCATGGGCGGGGCGGTAGAAGACCTAAAGGTTGGGGTTCAACCTTTCTTTTAATAAGGTGGGATAAAATTTTATCATGCAAGTAGACCTGAGCTTCACCTCTCTATTTCTGGTATACTGCAGATTATATGACAAACTTCAGCAGATAATACCAGCACCATCTCTCTGACAAATTACAATAAAATAAATAAAAATACTATATAGAATATTTGTGCTCCATTTTTCATATCTTAAAGCCATACTAAATTCTGTGGGCGAGAAATTGCTTCATGCTATGTTCCAAATGAATGTCACTACATAAAGAAAATAAAACTTCAGTTTCAAGAGTACATTGTTGACTACTGACCCCACACCCCCTGCTTAATCCAATAGTCAAACTTATCCAGTTCCTACAAGTACACAATGCCATTACCTGAAGAGTGCAGTGGGGCTTAGAGTTGAATGCAAAACAGATAAAAGAGAGATGCTAACATCAAAAGCAAAACATAATATCTCAACAAATATAAGCAGAAGCTCTTAACTTCAAACTACTAGATGATAACATGTATAATACCGTGGCTTAAACACAATTAGAAAATAATTTACGGGAGAAGAAGAAATAATCTGCTGCAATTTGGGAAAATTGAAACGAATGTTTGACAAGCATAGTATTTTTCCATGAAAAAAGAATGGGATAATCTACTCTATTATGCAAATGTAGAGTGGCATAATAAAATCACACATGGGATTTTGAAATGGACAGCGACATGCAATGCAGTAGCTTAAATAAGATTAATAGTGAATGAGACGTAAGGATGTGCATCAGCATCACCTGCAAAGCCGCCCATCCCTCCTTCGTCCTCAGTTTTCCAGTATGTGCTGCATTTACACATCGAAGATATCAACTCAATGTTCACAAGTTCCTGAGACCATCGAAGAAGATGCTTTATGAAGAACATTTGACAATAGCTCAGAAGGGCTTCTAGAAATAACTTCAGAAGACACAGCATGTTCTGGCTAAACATAAGCAAAAAGTAAAAGTTAATTTTAAATATTTTTTGTTTACAAAAATGTCTTGGA